TAAAAAATTGTTATTCTTTTCCCCCGCATATTTAGCATATTTCGCAACTTTCCGCATATTTGCTAACTTCCCGCAATTTCACCGCATAAAATCACATAAAACCCCGCATGTTTAATCGCATAATCAAGGATTTTAGCCCGCATAATCAAGGAATTTAGCCCGCATAATCAAGGATTTTTGCCCGCGTTTTTCTGGAGGGTCTAATCAATAAGGCAAGGTAGCAATTTGATTTACATAGCACCTTTCAACACAAGGAAATTCAAAGTGAGTTACAAAAATGAAAGACATTAAGAGCATTAGGAAATAGTGCAGATGAAACACATTATAAAATGGCATTCAAAAACAGTCATGAAAAAGCTAGTAAAAGATAATAAAATATACATAAAAAATACATGAATAAATGCAGTGTAAGATATGAGTAAACTACAATGAATACATTTATAGAGATAGAGACATTTTAACACAATAGGCGCTTTCACATCGGAGTACTTTTCCCAAGAACTAGACCGATAGTTCTTGGGATTTTGGTTTCACACCAAAAATATCTGAAACTAGAACCTAGTTCATGCAAACCTTTTCACCCCCAGATAGTCCCTGCTAGAGAGGTGGTACATTCCTGGGGAGGAAAAGGTTCCAATTTCTGATTGGCTGGGCGAATTGCACACCACGCCCCGAAAAACTCAGTTTTGCGAATCCGCCATTTTATTTGCTCGCATTAGCATTATTAGCATTATTATTATTAGCAGTAGAAGCTGCCGGGAGTCCCAGCAGCTTCTACTGAAGCCAGTCCTCAACTCCGGGGACTTCCGTCCGGGGACTTCGGGTGGCAGTGTACGCCGTGAAGTTGTTTGCGGCCTGCCAGTAAACCCAAAGCAGAAGAAGAAGAAGTGACGTCAGCGGCTTCATTTGCGTAATCCTCCCTGAGGGACTTATTCCAGTGTGAACAAGACATACTAGGACAGTTCCGGGACTAAAGAGTTTGCAGGACTAAGTACTGGGAACTAAGTACGGCAAAGTACTTGGTGTGAAAGCGGCTATTATTTAAAAAGACAACCAGTACATAACTAACTTGAAATTATTTTGATATTGTCATTATTAACACTTGATCCTATTAAATACAAATAAATATTAATAAAAAATACCTGCATATGTCATGTACAGGTAAGACTTAAGACTTACTGAAAATTCTAAGAATCAGCTTTATCGACACCATCATCACCTCCTTTACTGTCTTCACGTCAGTTGTATATCATTTATGCACACTATCCCTCTCCAATTAAATGTTACATCTGACTGATACAATATGATTTTCCACTTTCATATTCATATAGGAAATCAGAGGATATATATGTGTGTTGATAAGAATGACCTCACTGTTGTTTTTTAATTTTATGGGGTTTGGTAACCAATGAAAAAATATAGAATATGATGGATGTGGATTTGTATAGAACCCTTTTGTCTAACTTGTTGGCCCTACAGGGAGAACAATAAACATACCAAATAACAATAGTATTATAAATGCTTCGCCTTAAACTGGTTTCTCATGAACTACATCCTGTACACAGGAGTGACAAGCTTCGATGGATGTGTACCCTCACTCCTAACCGGCGCACACGCTTTATGTCTACTAGTGCCCACCAACCAGGTACAACAGAATATCATTCCCGACATTGTGGACAGTCCTCAACATGCAGATATGTTGATATAAACTCAAACTATCTCTATTTTTCAGACTCTCCCCAGGTGCAGTGCATTCAGTCATACTCATCCCAGGAACCAGATGAACTCTCCATTGAGATGGCTGATGTCTTGAACCTCCTAGAGAGAACAAACGATGGTGTGTAAAGGCACAAATCCACTTTATATCCTATTTGAGACTTTTGCTTGTATTTCTGAGTGAATCTTTTGTTTTATGTAATCCAGGCTGGATGATGGGTGAAAGGCTCCATGATGGAGAAAGGGGCTGGTTCCCTAGTCGAGTTGTAGAGGAGATCCAGAGCAAGGAGCTCCGGGCTCAAAACCTGAGAGAGGCCTTCAGGATCCAGCAAGCCCAGGAAGGTGGAGGAGCAGCGCAAACTGGAGCCAGAAGTGGTATAAGGGCGGGGAGACGCACCGGAAGGGTCTCCAATCATTCCAATTCTTGAATTGATCAAATGGGGGAGAAGCAATATTCTTCAAGCAGTAAAGCGGGAAGAATGTCACCGTTCAGGGCTAAATGCATTAAAAGAAACAATCAGGATACATGTTACTTAAATCCCTTACAATGTCCCCTTGTCCTTTTGATTTGACTTGATGGTTTTAAAAATCCAAATGATCAAAGCGCTTGGGTCGATAACCATGTACAAGCCATGCTGCATGTCTAATATAAACGTGTGCTACAGGTGTTATTCAGCCCCAGACACTGGAGTGTAATGCATGAAGCAAAGATCTGTATTTGGTAAGGAGCTACGTTTGGAGATGGAAATAATCCCAGCAGGTCTTGCAAAAGTACTGTAATCATCCCTCAGCTGCATGGGCAAGTTGAACTATTTTACATGTGTTCATTTCATTGTAAAAAAACATCTTTGCACTCGGGATTCTACCCCAAAACACAAACCTTCAAATGTACGATTGCCCAAAGAACTCAATGCACTGCAACTTAAGAAAAACACATGCGATTAAAACACAACACAATGCAATACAAAAACATGCTGCAAAATTCTAAAACAAAACAAAATACATGAAGTGCATTGAGTTTTCAGGTCCACCGTAAAAGTTTCACATACAAATTATTATTTAAAAGAGTCAGCTGAAGTGATACTCCACCCAAAACCCTTTATGAATACGAAACACTGGCTACAGCCAGACATGATGCTGGCTTTGAATTTTTCAGCTGTGGAGCAGGATGGATCCAAACTCATAGGAAACTTAGAACAGATACAAGGTTTGGTCAAGACAAGACAAGACAAGGCAGAACAGAACAGAACCGAAAACCAGCCTTAAATACAACCACAACTAATCAGGGGATACATTGCAGGTGTACCAATGGTCACGTGATTGCAGGGCTAATGGTGAACAGATGGAACTAATATGGCAGACGGGAAAACACCCAAAGACAGGAAGTAAAAACAGACAAGACACAGGGGAATACAAAATGTTTCAAAATAAAATAGGAAACAGATAAACAATAGCAGATTCATTCAAAGCCGTTAAGACAGCCGCTACTAGTGTTCAGAAAATTATAGGAATCTGTGATTTCAACTGGTAACGAAAGGACCTCGAGATGAGAACTGAATCGTGAGTACAAAAACACATGCCAAATAGATTGCTAATACAAACACCACTGCAACAAATTAATTTTATTATTTACCATTAGGTTAAAAAAAAGTGCATTTGATATTTAAAATACTATAAGAGAACAACATGTATATAACTGTATCAGGTCAGCATGTTCGATTGTCAGAGCATACCCCCTCACAAAACTAACTCCTAGCCTATAATCCACTCACCAAATGGCCTCTGAACAAACCTTGGGCTTTGAAGAATCCTTAATGACGGTCGTAAATCAGGTGTTCTCAGTTTGATAGAATTCATGTACGGTTCATAATTT